CTATAATTTTGTTGTGTGTGTGTGTGTGTGTGTGCATGCGCGCGCGCGAACAGTTTCACTATTTCTGTTATTTATTATATCTTGAATATTTGCTCTCTCTCTCTCTCTTCTGTCCTTTCATTAATTTTTAAAATTTTATCTATGAAAAGATTCCAGTCTTCGTACAATTTCAAATTTTTATTAGGATATAATAAATTAAAATCAATATTAATCTGTAAAAAATATAATTATTATAATTTAAACTGTATAATTATTTATATAAACTGTAAAACACTCTAAGACTCAAAATTACTTCTAATTGATCGATTTGAGTCCTAATATGTTTTTCCACATATACAAATTTTGAGTTCACACATGTAAAAATGTCCAAATTGGCGACATGAGATTATTCTTTAAAAATTGTTGCATTTGGTGTGGTTTCAAAAATTACTAATTTTGGATGTTCCATATGGGTAAGTGTGTAGCCACAAATTAAAAATGTATCCCTTTTTGCTAACGCAAATACTGTGTCTTTTGTAGTAATAGAATAAACAACTTGAAATGGTTCGTTAACGTCATCAAATTCTCTTTGTGTTTTTAAAGTTGTTTTAGCATCTTTAGAAATTTTTCGTTTCCGTCTGCCTTTTTTAACTGGTTTACAATCGACTTCTTCAAAATTTATAGAATTTCGTGATAATGCATCTGCGTTTACATTCATTTTACCTGCTTTATATTCCACTTCATAATCGTATTCCGCTAATTTTATTCTCTATCGTAATATTCTCATATTCGCATCTTGAACATTCTTAAACCACATTAAGGGCTTGTGATCGGTTACCAGCGTGAATTGTCGTCTGTATAAGTATGGTCGAAACTGTTTAACGCAGTAAACTATTGCTAATGCTTCTTTTTCGTATGTATCGTATTTCAATTCGTTATCTTTTAAGGTTCGAGATGCGTAAGCTATTGGACGATCCTTATTTATTTCTCCTTGTGATAATATTCCGCCTATTGCTTTTCCAGAAGCGTCTGTTGTTAAAATAAACGATTTTGTAAAATCAGAATATTGTAACACAGGTTCTTTGCACAATAATTGTTTCAGCGTTTTAAACGATTCTTCTTGAGCGGATGTCCATTCGAATCGAGTATCGTTTTTTAATAGACTAAAACAATACAAACGCGCGCTGCGCGCGCGCACTTATTATAGCGATTTAATAATTAAAAAATCTAAATATTTAAATAAATTTTTTTATTTTAAATAACCGTCAAAATAACCTTCGCTATCAAGCTATCAAACTATGGCTGCGTTCCCATTTCGTCTCACTCAGTGCAGTATCCAGTAGCCGCCATTTTGCTGGATACTGCACTGGAGAAGCGTTCCCAAATTACTGGACCAAATATTTGGCAATTAGGATGAAATAATTTAGCTCCCATTACCAAATATTTGGTAATTAGGACGAAATGATTTAGCTCCCATTACCAAATATTTGGTAATTAGGACGAAATGATTTAGCTCCCATTACCAAATATTTGGTAATTAGGACGAAATGATTTAGCTCCCATTACCAAATATTTGGTAATAATTACTAAATCACTTAGCTCCCATTACCAAATATTTGGTAATTATTACTAAATGACTTAGCTCCTCATTACCAAATATTGGTAATAATTACTAAATCACTTCGTCCTCATTACCAAATATTGGTAATAATTACTAAATTACTTCGTCCTCATTACCAAATATTTGGTAATAATTACTAAATCACTTCGTCCTCATTACCAAATATTTGGTAATAATTACTAAATCACTTCGTCCTCATTACCAAATATTTGGTAATTAGGACGAAATGATTTAGTTCTCATTACCATATATTTGGTAATTTAGACGAAATTTTTTAAGAGTGAATACAACTTCACAGCTTGAGGTAATGTAAACAATTGTCATAGAAACATTTATAAATTGTTAATCAATATTGCCTTGTCAACCATTTAAATATAAACTGTCAAAATATATTTTTTGCACATGACATTGAGATAACCAATCAGCGTCGCGATAAAACTGCAACAATACACTTCGATACTTTCGAGATTTCGATATATTCGACTATCGACTTCTCATGTCTTTTTTAAGAGTGGATTTGTTAATGGTTTTGCTAGTTTCGAAAAGTTAGATATAAATCTCCTATATCTCCTATCCTTCGAGTCCTAAAAATTGTTTAATGTTTTTCGGTGTCTTTGGTCTGGGAAACAATTTTACTGCTTCTAACTTTTTAGAATCAGGTTTAACTCCGTTTTTACTAATTACGTGTTCTAAATATGTAACTTCTGTTTTTAAAAATTTACATTTGTCTGGTTGCAGTTTTAAATTAGCTTTTTGCAATCTGTCGATTAATAATTTATATTTCCTTTCATATTCCTCCAGGGAGGTGGAAAATTAAATGGAAACGTATCATGAATTAGAAAATAAGAATTAGAAATGATTAATCCATTTCGTTGTTTGAAGTAAAATAACTCCAAATTGCTTTTCCTATTATTATTATAAGATACATGGGAGAGTTTAAACAAAAGCGTTCTGCAAAAAAAGAGACAAAACAACTTTACTGCCTCTCTTTGTCTAACTGCTCGTTTATTAGAGCAGTGCTGCCAGAAACAAGCGGCAAGCATCTTATCAACACAACCGAGAACCAAGATGTCACGTGTCCGCTTTCTTGCTCTCTACTTGCCGCCAGTGTTGCGATATGGGACCGGTTGTATGCGCATGTGCGGCTCTGCGCATGTGCAGTGATGGAGATCCAGTGCCGTTATATGTTATGTGTTGACCGTATGGCGGGACGTTTTGACATGAGAAGGTCTGGTGACTACAAATAAGGTAAGATTTATTTATTTACAAGCATGGAATCTACGGAGCCAGCAGCTAAAAAACCAAGAAGTAAAAAATTTCAATCAATTTCAAAAAATTTAGAAATATTTTTAATGTAGCGGGGTAACGGTGCCTTGTTTAATTTGTATGAGACACTGTACTGACGCCGTATTGTCGCACATGCGCATACAACCGGTCCCATATCGCAACACTGCTTGCCGCTTATTTCTGGTAGTACTGGTATAGAGTTCAGTGGATAAAATAGGATAGAATATAATAGTGGATAATAGCAGATTTACATTGATAGATAGGTTACGTGTTTTTTTTTGTATAACCAAAAAATGAGTGAAATATCAAGCTGGGAAGATATAGAAAATGATCGTAAGTAGAAAAAATGTGTATGAAATAAATGTTGATGTTTATATACATAATTTACAAAATATATATTGATTTTAGAATTTTTTAAACAATTATTGGGTGCTGATTCTAAGAAGACTGACATTAGTCCCTTGTTGTCAGTGGCTCAACAATTGAACAAACTAGGACAAGGTGGAAAAAAAAAATATATATATATATATATAAATTATTTTTTCATATCAATGAAATACTGATATAATAAACATTATTTTTAGCTATCGAAGTGTTAAATGCCGAATTGCAAAGGCAAGTACTTGCCAATCATGAGGATCTGCTATCTCAGGCAACATGGGTTGAAAAATTGGAGGGAGTGCTTTTTATAATGCAATCTCATATACAAGTGAGTATTATAAGATATCAACAGTTAATTTTAATAAATGTTTAAAGTTTGACTTGCAAGAAATAACAATTCTTATTTCAGAGCCTGTTATCAGCAGTTGAGCGATTACGTAGCAAAATTATTGATCCATTTAATAGAATTGAGATGCAAACAATTGTACTGTCACGGCTTCATGAAACTTCTGATCTTTTAAGAAGAGTTGCTAGAATGCAACATTTATCAAAGCGTTTGAATTCCCAAATGAACAGTATTACTCAAGGACCAGATATTGTTAAAGCTGCGAACAGTTTGCATGAACTTGGTACTTTTTTGGTTACTTTTTGTTGTCATTAATGTTATGTACCAGTGTGTTATATCTTAAATTTATATGCATACAGAACAATTAATGGCAGATACAGACCTCAATGGTCTTGATGTGATTGCGGATGATCAACAAGCTGTAAAAGCTCAGAGAGCTACAGTGCAAAGAATAGCCACTCATACTTTAACACAAGGTTTACAGACAATGGATAGGACAAAGGTATACAATTATTGTTAACTATAGTTAATTTTATTTTAATTATTATATTTGAATTAATACAGTAATGAATATATATAATGGACAGGTGAGCACAGCTGTGCAGGTTTTTCAAAACTTGGGAATAATAGTCGGAGCTGTAGACACAACTATAGAATCCAGCCTGGCTGAAATAGAAAGAATTTCGACAGATTCATTGGATGTAACTCTAGTAACGAATCAAGATTTTGGAAAACGTGGAGCGCCAGGTAGAGCTGCGATCCCATCACCTGGATCATCTGGAAATCTACGCACTAGAATTTGGGAAAATCTCGAACGCCTTTTCCAAGATACTTTATACACGCAATGTCTGCAAGTAAATAGATAAAATTGTGCAATTTTATATATGCATCTCGTCTTAATTTTTAGAAATTTTTAGAGAATATTTTATATCTAGATTGAGCTACTGCAAAGAGTATTATTGGAACATCATACGAAAGAGTTTCAAGATTTGTCTGAGAAATTTTGGGACAAAGTAAACACTCTGCTTGCAAAAGTCTTGATCGAACGCGCCCAAGGTAAATTATTATAAACATACATTAAATGTCAGATAATTGAAAAAAATAAAATAAAATTTTATGTTATAGGATCGTCGTTTGTAAAACAGGCCTTAGAAGGAGAATACCCAAAATTTTTAAGAATATTCTTAGATTTGAGTAAACGTTTGAAAGAGAGATCTCACAGTATTGGCATGTACGGTATCGAGTGAGTATAAAATTTCATATAAATTGATATAAAAAATAAATTAATGTAAAACATTAATGCACGCATGTTTCAATGTAGCCGCAATGTTTTATTACCGTTCGAGAATGCATATTTGTCCCGTTCGGTATCTCGACTTTTGGATCCAGTGCATAATATGTTTTCTGGAGAAGGTTTGCCAACACACGACGAAATCGACAGTCTTATCCGTACAATTACAAAGTAAGTTTGATATATTTTCTATTTGTTTTATCGCTGTCAATAACAAATATATAACATACATTCTGCATTTAGTGAACTAAGTGTATCATTGGTGGACGATGGACTCTCGACCGTGGTGTCGCGTAATGTAGGGAAAGCAATAAGATTATTCTGCTTAAAATGCGAGCAGAGTGTGGTGACCGGCGGTGAGGCCAGTCAAGTGATCGATTCTCCTACTACTGGCCAGCAGACAAACGTCACGCTCGCGAATCTTCTGCATTATCTCTCCAGTCAGACAAACCGTGTGATAGCGAATCTGGCAGGGGGATTGCCCTCTGAAGGGAGCGCCATCATTACCACGGCGCTCAAAGAAACCGACATGTTAACGAAGAGTTTGCTCGCGCCGTTATTAACTTCGATTAGCGATGCGATTGAAAGCATCATTTTGACGATGCACGATGATCCTGAATTTAGAGAGTGAGTTTACATAATTTCTATTTTGATTTTCATGTAATATGCGTTTCTAACTGTTAATTTAATATGATACAATTTTTATTTATAGTACAAGTAATCCTCTGGGAAAAGAGATAGGCTCTTCTCTTTACATGCGTGAATTACAAGGCTTCATTTTACGATCCGTGAATACGTTTTTGATCCCGTATAAGAATCAAGTGGTTGTAGCTGAAAGGTAAATTATATTTATTTTTATTAACTCATCGTACATATCGATAAATCATTGATTGTTGAATATTATTTAAGCTGCAAAGCTGTCGCGTCGAGATGTATAGAGTTATTCGTGCGCCACGCTTGTTTATTAAGGCCTCTGACTGATTTTGGAAGGGCAAAACTACTGATCGACTTCGCTCAGGTATGTCGCTTTTGCATAAAACCAGACGTGTTGAATAGCTGTAACAAATAGTGTAACAAATTTTAGATAGAGGTAGCTGTAGCACCATTGTGTCGCGGTGGCCAGATGAGTCTGGTCGAGCAACAGCAGTATAGAACATTGCGAGCGCTAAAAACCTTACTGCCTCTCAGTCCTGAGGAAATAGTCGATAAGATATTGGAAGGACAGGGAGAAAGTAGCGTGTCGCCGTCTCTCATTCTTCTGCATTTATTTTCCGGAGCGCCGCCCGAATTGGCATCGCCGCATCAAGTGAATAGATTTCTAATGTTGAATTTTGCTCATTAGCAAAATAATATTGTTCGAGGTAAACAATTTTATGTTCATTGCAGAGCGCCGGATGGTCTATCGGTCGATTATCTCAATGGATGGACAGCCATCCGAGCGAAAGAGACAGATTAGCGCTGTGCAGTGGACCACTGGAACGTTATCAGTTGACAGTCAGACAGCAAAACCTCCCGTCATTCCACCCTATATTTCCGCAGATGATGAAACTAGCTAACTTGAAGGAGCATTCAGGCTAATAAAATGTACATTGTATATATTATTGCAAAATTTTATATTTTGTCTTTGTATAAAAATGATATTCCAAACTTATGCAAGATGTATAAACTAAATCTTGAATATTACAAAACTTATTTATATTATAATGTAGGAAGAATATGCTAAGCTTAATCGAGAGAGGAATGCAAAAACCAGATATTATACGTTACGTATATTCCAAAGTTTTGGGATATACGATTTCCACAAACATAGCCCTATCATTAATGTAATACCCAACGTTATAGTCCATCTGGACCTACTTTTCTTGGGACTGATAAACGTCGGCGGTATACCGATATCATTTTCCTTATCGATCTACAATGCAAAGAATATAATGAATACTAAATAACGAAAATCTTATAAAATATAATATATTAGCTCTGCGTTACCTTCTGTGCGAGTGTTTTAATGTGCATTATTTCATCTTTCAGAATTTTTAAAGTGTCCTGCGTTTTTCTCAGTGCTTCTTCATATCCTATTTTTTCTTCGGGGAGTAGATGGATATTTTGGTTCGCTGCTCTCATCAAACTGTGTTTAATATATTGAAAACTAGAAGCTATCACACCAATCTGCTTTTTTGCATTCGCCAACGATATAACACCATTGTAAATTCTGTAATCATGTATGTATATCATTATTTTGTTTTACATATTTCTACGAAATGTTAAATATAAAACTGTCAAACATACGTAAATGGATCAGATTTCTTGATAATGCCAAGACTGTGTATAGACCACTTTTTATTGTGAAATTTTTCGAGACTTTCTAGGAATTGTTTTCTATGAACAGTGATATCGATTCCTATTCGACAAAGATCATCTTCTGTCAATTGTAAAAAAGTTTTCAGATCCATTCCTTGAAACATAACATTATATTTTTCCAAACCCATTCCATATAGTAGTGTCGATATATCATTATCTAAAACATCTTTTTCTTTGGAATACAAATCTGGAAATAAGTCTTTCCAAGTACTTATCTGTGATTCTTGACAAAATGTTAATATTTCTGCGTCATTCGCTAATAAAGCAGTTATCTAGAAAGTTCAAAATTTAGATTAGAACAAGCAAATTTAGATTTGTCAGCAAAAGACCAAAGACATTGAAATTACCTCTGTGAATCCTTTTGTATATGCGATATCCTTAACAGACAAATTATTTCTGTCTGTCAATGATATATCTGCTTTGTGATCGAGAAGAATTTTAACGATATCTGGCTTATTGGCAATGACGGCATAGCTGAGTGCCTATAATCATTAAATCAACAATTTACAAAGAAAAATGTTTGATATTTAATAACATTGAAACTTACAGTTCTCCCATCACTGTCACAAACATTGATGTCTTTCACATGCTTTATAAGTTCAGCAACAAAATTCCATATCTTGTGACTTACAGGCATACATTAAAGCTGTTTCCCTGTGAAATTTGATCACCAATGCTTAACAAATGAACAATGATAGTAATAATTACAACATCAAAAACCAATATTGGTTTCTACAGATTCCTTAGCTTTACCTTTGCTTATTTGTAGCATTTACATTAGCTTCTGATTGTATTAAAAGTACAAGACTTTTAAGAGATTTCTCAGTTGTTCCCTTTGTGGTGTTACACAGTGCCATAAGAGGTGTAAATCCATCTGTTGGAGATTATACAAAACTTAAAACAATGAATAAAATAATAACATCCGTACATACCTTTATGCTTATTAGGATCTGCATCATGAATCAACAGATATTCTATTATCTCCAGTTGTACATATGAAATAGCATATAATAGCAGTGTCCATCCAGTATATAAAAATTTATTAATATCATGTTCTATATGAAGAAAAAAATACATTTGATATAGCAATATAAGTGTGACATCAATAAAATTAACAATACAAATATTTATTTTGCAGTTAGTATAACGAAGTAGTTTATAAGATTTTCGTTAAACTATGATAAATTTATTTTTTATTAGAACATCCAAAAACATGATTAATAAGATAGACAAAAATAAATTTTATTTTGCTAACTTTAAGCAATGTATAAAACTATATACAAAATTATACAGAGAAAATAATACATTTCAAAAGTTTTATTAATATAGAAACAGTATGATGTAATAATACTTACTTTCAAGATATTTTTGTATCACATCCAAATTGCCCTTCATACACGCATTCGCAGTGTCTTCTTCCAAGATACGTTCTTCATCATAATCAGACACATCATCGAATTCGATTGTCTTTTCCTCTTCCTTTGAATCTTTTTTTGAGACCTCGTATTGTTCCTTGATGTTCTAATAAAAGAATGAAAAAAATAAAGCAATGCTCTGTCGTGGCTTAACAGTGACAGTTAATGTGTTGATTAACCGCACCTTCGGGAAAAAGAGATCATCATCATCGTCATCTTCGTCCTCGTCGTCGGACATGCCAGCAGGCCTCAGATATTTATACTTCGACATTGTTGCAATGATCGAAAATGCAAGACGAGAATACAAAATAACAGCGTTATTTCGTCCACGTAAGTCAGCGATCGCGAAGATTTATGGGAGAAGCCGGTTGTCACGCGTGCGCCGTCCAAATGTTTACCTACTTGCGATTGTTTACGAATTTAGAGGTTCTCGAATAGGCAAGAACGCCCGGCGTGTGACAACCAGTCATTATTCAGTAAGTACGGTTCGGCGGCTGCCGTGAATTCTCACGTTATTTCGTTCGTACGGCCAAGTAGGATCTTTCCTCAGATTTCAATTGATACGCCACAATCGTGCGAGCAAAAGCGGTTAAGAACCTTGAGTCGTAGTGGCGCAACAGTACTGACGACTACCGGGCTGGGCGTTGATAGTACGCCAAGTAACATTTTCACGCAATCGTGAAGATTATTTCGGGACCATAATACAAGGATACAACAATCCCGTTGTTTATTTTTCGCCATTTATTTTGTTCCCGGGTCTTTTATAAGAGCGCTTCGCGGTAATTTTGCCACTTGTCGGCACGGCTGGCTTTTCGCAACTCACGCTAACTTTGTTGATAATTTTAGAGCCTGTCGAGAAGTGAGGAAAGAAGATAAAGATACTTTTGGGAAAACAGAGGAACAAAATGAAAAAAGCAGAATAAAATAAAAAGAATGATGAGAAAGGAACCATAAACTGGCTGGGAATGTTCGAGAGGAACAGGAAGAGAAACTTAATAAGATTTGATATTGCTTCTCCAAATATATAATGTATCATAATTAATAACGCATTGGAGTTTGATCGAACAAGGTGTTTGTATCAGATTTATCGAGTGATTGTAATAACGCGATCAACGTGTCGCTTAACCTAAAATCTAAAACGGAAGATATCGTGTGACAAACAGTGAGTATTTTATGTTAATATATTTTAACTCAACGTAAAACGCACCAATGCAAATTAACATCTGTTGTGCATTAATCTATTTGAGTATAAAAACAGAACACAAACATGAAATATAATATTCCAGTGGAAACGCACATGAAAAGAAATAATGGAAAAAGTAGTGACATAAGAAACAATAGGGGTGAAATATTTATCAAACATATAATTTTTTTATTAGATATGGGATAGATTATACTCAGCATGTCCAATCAGTTTATTGCATCAATTTATTCATCAATCAACTTATTTGCATCAATTTAAATGTTTGATAGCTTTCTTATTATATATATCATTTACATCAATTTGTTTATGATCTTTAATGTGCACTAATGTATAACTGAGTTTGCTATCAAATATTTGAGTTTAACATATTTGTTCACTACAATATGTGCAATTACATATGTATATTATACTTGATAAAATTATGCAAATGTTAATAATAAAAAATTCCTTTTTTTATATTAATAGAATCACATTTTAGCTTGCAATGTAAGAGAATTGAACTCAATATATTTATGAAAAACTTTTACATAAAATATATATATTATAAAAATTATACAAATTATACAAATGTTTGTAGTTGATAGTATTCAAAAATTCACTTTTTCACGAATTGACGATGCGCCAGGAAGATTATTATAATAGAAATACAGAATAAACATAATTCACAGTTTGTTTGACGTATAAAATTAAAATAAATTTAACATTGCAAAACACAAGTTCTAAGAATTGTTGGATTAATATTATGATCACTTTGACAGATGCACACCGTACTTGCGGCGTTTGATTTCGACCACACCATCTGCGACGACAATACCGACGTGGTGGCACGGAAATTACTGCCGGAAGAGAGGATACCCAAGAACGTGAAGGATCTGTACAGATCCAGTGGCTGGATCGCATACATGGACAAGATTTTCGAGCTTCTGCACGAGAATTCCATCAATGCGCAACAAATAGAGAACGCCATCGTCAATATACCGCCAGTTCCAGGGATGGAGATGCTACTCAATTCCTTGCGCGACAACGGTCACGAGATCATTATTATCAGTGACTCCAACAGTATATTTATAGATTGTTGGCTGAAGAGCAAAAACCTCGAACATGTCGTATCGCGGATCTTTACAAATCCGGCGCGATACGACGACGACGGCAGGATGCGGGTGAACAGGTATCACACGCAGCGCACCTGCGAGCTGAGCACCGTGAATCTTTGTAAGGGACAGGTGTTAATGGACTATGTGCGGGAAAGACGTGAACAGGGTAAGCACTTCGACAAAATTGTTTACGCCGGGGATGGAAAGAACGACCTCTGTCCGGTTTTGCGTCTTTCACAGACCGATCTGGCATGCCCGCGAAAAACCTACGCGCTTATCGAGGCGTTGAACAAACTGCCTCGCGATACATCGACAAAGGCGAAAATTGTGCCGTGGGAGAATGGTAGGGATCTACATCGTAACTTGGAGCAGATCATAGATCTTCATTAACAGACTTAATGTTAGATTTATCGCTAATTAATTAAAATCGGGACAAATATTCACGCGACTATGAGGGAAAATAAAAAAGTAAATAGACGTTTTTGTCACTTATATTTGGTAATGTTTAATGTAATTTCTTAACTTTTTGACTTACTCTTATAATTGTTAAGAAATTACATTAAACATTACCAAATATAAGTGACAAAAACGTCTATTTACTTTTTGACTTACTCTTATAATTGCTTTTTATTTTTTATTCTGAATTTATACCGCCTTATTTTACGTGAATAATTCGTCCGAATATATCTTGCTTTTTGATTAAACATTGTGATTTTTAAGTACGAATTTAAAATACGAATTTATTATTAAATAATTTATTTTTTTATGAGTTTATATTACTTAAAAGATAAATTTTTGCTACACTTTATTTTATACGATACAGTGAACATTATAAGAATATTTACGTACATGACGATGTATCTTATATTAAAATATTATAAGGCAGAGATATTATTCTGCTATAATAATAAAAATAAAATTATAAAATTAATCTCTCGATTATATCGTTATGTGTAACTAAAAGTGCAATATTGCTAATTGTTGAAAACTACTTATACGATAAAGTTGTAACAAGTTTTTCAAAATAAAGAAACCTTAATTGATTAAATTGAATAAAAGTGTCGCACATGTTATCTGTCAGTTTTAAAAGAATCTTTGTTGAAAATTTACCTTGCGCAGATTTGAATTAAATCATTTTTATCGTGCGATATGAAAACAACTTGTCGATATGCAATTACGTAAGTTGCGCGCGCATTGTTAAAGCATTGTTGAGGTTAAGTCGGGCTCATGACGTACGCACAGTGTTCGCGTCTTTGACATTAATTATTGTTACGTTAACAGAGTTACTGCTCGCTATCGCGAGCGACGGCGGTCGGAAAGAGGAGAAAATAGAAGATTTCACGCGCGTGACCGATGAGCTCGCTTTTGTGAAACTGCGAGAGCCAACAGAGACATTATCGAACGCGGCTGCGAAATTACGAATTTTGGACTCGCGCGACGATCGTCGATATAGCGATTGGAACTTTATTCGCGATAAGTGATAAGTGCGAGTAAGTAAACTTCCACTTATATATACGAATTCATAATTCATCTGCACGAGCGTTCTTTCGTAAGAATGCTAAATATTTACTGCAATAAGCACGAATCAGTGTTCGTTCCGTTTGTTTTGTCTGATATGAATATTTTTATCGTTCACCAACGATTAGGCGATTGGAGACAAATCGCAATCAGATTGCTATGTAGTAATGCTGTTATGTAGGAGCTGTTAGAGATAGCCTCTTACAAATTTTACTCTTCTTGTACGTTTATTATTGAGAAAACGTAAAAATATTTTTTTAGGAATATTTTTTATTTAAAAAAAAAATTTCTGATGAAATAAGAACTTTCTTCCATTACTAAGTTCAAGACTATATATATATAGAAAGTATTATTTCATATTTGTGAAATATAATCGCTGACACAAAATTTATTGCTTGTAATTGCTATCATTATCTTGATTCCATTAATATTTGAATCTATTGATTGATAATTACGCAGATTTCACTTAATTGGATGTATCCTATTTTCTTTTTTACTAGCATCGCCACATGCTTCTTGAATTTTCATTATATTTATGTTGAGGATATTTCTTATGATACCAAAAGAAACTGCGCTTAAGAATGTAGCGTCAGTCAGCCACTGCGGCATACGAATGCAGGAGAATACTTTCAATAAGGTTCCTAATAATGCTGGTGTCCAGAGAATTACGCATAGAATTAAAGATATTTTGATTATATTAAGTATTCTAAGCATGCAATTTATCTCTAAGAATATACTTTTATTTTGCATCTCCTTGTAACTTTGGTCCTTTCTTGTTTCTTCAGCTCCTGTTCTGCTGCCATGATCATTTCTTGGTCCCTGCAGCGAGTTAGATCCCCCCATGGAGTTTTCACGAGAAATCTCTTTGCTATCCGTGGAGAGCCGAAATTCTGAATGAGGCTCATCAACAACAGCTACACTACTATCCTTTTTCGAATCGACGTTGCTGCATAGCGACGGAATTGGTAGATCAGTCCTTGCTCTCAATATCGCGAGAGTATTCTTGCACATGTACTTGCCTCGCATCTGTAGAATACAGAAGAGTAGAATCGACAGGAAATATACCGTGAAGCATAATACGAATAAGTGTAATTTCAAAAACTTGATCGAAATCAGGCATTCATTTGTCATGCGAAACGAGTCACTTTGCATCTCTGTGTTAAAGTCATCAATTTTGCTGGCAAGTAAATCCTTGATCGAGTTCGGCTTCCTCTTCGCGACGTAGCCCTTCGAATTGTTCCGCTTCGCGGCATGCGCGCTGGCGGCTTGAATGCGTTTCATTATCTCGTTGTATATTTGATTATTGGAAATGGATGCTCCACTTCGCACAATGGGAACGCTGCCGGTTTTCTCAGTCGTATTTTCTTTAAAATATATCAACGCGTCCTCTGCGTCCTGAGCCGACACTGATGGCACACTGCTCAGGCTCTCGAGTGTTGTATCGGATTCTTCCGACGCATTCTTCAGCAAATCACGGAATGACACTTTCGTATTCTGATCATTGAGTAGATTTGAGGGTGAATCGTTAATGCTGACGTCTCGCTCCATCAGCGTGCTATTTAGTCTTCTAGTTACGTTATTGACATTCGTATTATTCGTGATATAGTTCATTATATTGTTCGCGACAATATACTCCGTCATATTTTGCGATCTAGAATCATCGAGAAGACTTATGGATTGTGTAGAATTGCGCGCATAATTCAGCGCAGTCCTAACGATGTTCTGGACTTTCGACACTATCTGATCTACCTCGATGATGCTTGGTGTCGACATATTTGACAATTCTTTATTAATCAGATAACTGTTTTCCAGCGGCGTCACGTGCACAATGGAGTTAGCAGGCTTCGGTTTATTTTCGGGATCTGAAAACACGTAGAACATTGGGAAATTACTTTCAAATACGCACTCAACGTCCTCTGTGTGTCGAAGGATACTCATATCGCTGTACTCGGCGAAGTACAGAGCTCCCACAACGAGAAACGGCATGAACCAATGACTGGTGATGAGGAAGCCGACCGGCTTTCTGTTATCTTCGTTCACCTGAGATTGTTGGGATCTTGAAATCTTCATGATTCTCCGAATGAAGCTGCTCTTGATGTCTCGCGATTGAAACGTCGACTCTTGCTCATCTTCCAGTATTCCTCTTCTTCGCCGTTTAACGTCGGCAGCCTTTGCTTCAAGCTTAGTATTTCCCGACGATTCCATCACGCTGGCGCATCTTCGCTTCACGCACGCTGCATTGAGATTGCACTGCACAGCGAAGGTCAGCAGAGATACGAACGCGTTTGTCAGTGCAGCGAGTAATATTCCATACTGCATGTATACATCTTTCATGTCGCACGTCAAAGTTACATTAAGATCGACTTCGTTGACCGCGTCGCGTAGATTATTAATCGGCGGGAATGGGAGTTCATACTTGCCTTCGTCCCTCTCGATTATCCATGTGCGGTTGGACGTATCGCTGGTGTTCTGCGAGTTGTAACTCAATCTTATTACGGCTTCAATGTGATTTGCCAGAAGGATAACAGCCGTTAATGTAGCACTGAGAACGTCAGACGTCGACAGTGTGTGAAACGGCGATTTCGCCTTGCTTTTGCATCTTCTTCGCAATAGAATCACCAGCGTGACAAAGCTGGAGAGTAACAATATGTAGCTCGTTGCGCCTAGTGCTGCAGGATGCATGCTGCGATATTAGACTGCTTCAGATTCAAAATATCCTCTTTGCTTTCTATTCGAGTTGAGCTCGTTTCCTACTGAAACCGCGTATTACTCGATAGAAACAGACTGAATGAAGCATTTATTACAAGCATATGGGCACTGCACTGCATTGCATATGTGGGTACCCAGTTAGCATACCTGATGTAATTAAGATTTAACTGTACTGGCTGGCAGTATGGGGGCAAAATATCTATTAATTTCAACATGACTAAACAGTTCAACGATTCATATTATTGTAAATTTTCAATTTTTCTCTAATATTTTAATGAATTAACTAAAATCGGTTGATAAAATTTGCGTACGAAGTGAATAGAAGAATTAGAATAAATAAATTACTGAATGATCGTTCTTACATAATTAGCTCGTGTGTGATTGAAATCAGTAAGTGTATTGTAGATAATTTGAAGCATAATGAGTATACTTTAAAATTTATAAAAGACGCGTTACACCAATACATAAATTATTGTTACAGGTCGATATGTCTGTACGCCGGAAAAGCGATCCAGCCATGGTTCAGCGTGTTTGGGACACGATTAAAGTCACGGTGCATCAGAGAAGCTTGCCCAACAACGATCGTATAGTACGGCATTTGGCACGAGTTTATGGCTTCACGGAGCAGGAAGCACAGGAGGAGCTGAACAAGGCAGTCGAGGACGGTTTCGTCCTATTGAAGAAAGTGCCCGCGAAGAACGGCATCGAGCAAGAGAGTTACAGATTCCCGCCGGCGGACCCGCCGGAGGGCGACGGTCACGACTGGTACTGCTGCAAGTGCCAGCGAGCGGGCGCGGTCGAATGCTGCGAACAGTGCTACAGAGTCTATCATTCGGAATGCCATGTGCCCTGCAATGCGAAATTGAAGATCTGCTACTTTTGCGAGGTAAGCGTCCAGCAGCGAGTGGCATTCTGGTTGATGCATTGTTAAAAGTTACGAATAATTGTTGCAGAAAATCAACAGCGACACGTATCCCGACAAAACGGAGCTCAATCACATTCTCAGCTTTACGTGCGGTCATCTGAAGGCGAAGTTACCGCCGGAAATCACAAATCGCACCATTGTTTTCAACAACGGTCCGATTGTTACGCCTCCAAACGGCTTCTCCGGACCGACCTGGGTGAGCGAAGGCGAGGACGCGTGGCGGCCAGGGATTCTCATAAAACGTCACATGGATCTGGCAATCATGGACACGAAGACGAGCAATAATGAGTACAACAATCTCGCCGAATTCGAGGCCGACGCGCACAATATTCTACATAATATTCTGGTTTATCACGGAGGTAAGAAATTTTGTAAGTCACATTTTCTTTTTTAATCTTTATTGTATAACGTCTTACGTTATCTTGCAGATCGCAATGTGATAGGAGACATGGGCCGCACGATGTATCAGGACTGCTGTTACGATCTTCAGGAAATTCGCCGTTGCGCGGACTGCTATCGCATATCGAACGAGAAATCGGAGAAAATGTGGTTCTGCATACCGTGCAATCCGCCTCACCAACTGGTCTACGCGAAGCAAAAGGGGTACCCGTATTGGCCCGCGAAAGTTATGCAGGTTAACGGCAACGTGTACGACGTGCGCTTCTTCGGAGGTCATCACATGAGGGCCAATATCGAGAAAGTCTTCATTCGGCCGATCTCTGCCACGTTACAAAGTTTGCAGGTGAGCAGAAGTCTCTAGATTATTGTACTTTTGTAAAACAGACGAAAATACACAGCTAATTTTTTTTATCTTGTAATTGATAAGATAAATATCTATTTTTGTAATTAAAAAGCGCTGTCCCTCGTAGATAAAAAAATCAACGGCTTGGAACAGAGCTTTCGAGGAGCTGAAGCATCATCAGCACTTGTTGCAAAAGTTGGGAAAGAACAAGGAGGATTTGAACACCATAGATAATCCTTCACCCGCGAAGATAAGAAAATTAGAATCGTCGAATTCGAGGAGTCCAAATTTGCCGAAACAACTAGCAATTAAGGATTTGAGGGTGAAAGTCGAACGCTTGAGTTCCGACGGCAGCATCGAGACGCAGACTGCAAACGATACGGATAACAAAAAAGATGTCGCGAAAAGTAACGCCGAGAACGAGGAGAGACAAGTGCCTCATTTACCGGTGGCAGAGGATGAACCCGCCAGAGAGATAACCAGCACTTGCCCGCAAGGTATAAAGAAGGAAGGCTCGCAGGAGGATATGGTCACGTCCAGTTGCCAGGAACCGAGATCGAAGTGCGTTCTCGTACAGACTGAACAAATCCAAACGGATGGACTACCCGCCAAGGTAAATTTTCTCTCAAGCTTTAACTTAGCACACGTACAGTATATTATATCCAGACATATAACTATTTTCTATTTTTTAATTATAATGTTGAAATTTTTAAAATAAATTATAAATTGCAGATCAAAAGAGAACGCAGAACTTCGGAACAACCGACGACAACAGCGCTAGAAAAACTGCGCCGTGATTTGGAACTTGAAAAGTGCAGAGAGATGGAAAGATTACAAGCGGAGCATGCCAAAGAACTGCGGGAACTGACCGACAGGCATCAACAAGTTGTATCTGATATTAAAAAGAAACAATGGGTAATTTTTTTTCGCCCTTCACATTTCACAAAAAGGAAATATATAAAAGCTGTTTTATTAAACATCGTATTATTTGTTGCAGTGTTACAATTGCGAGGCTGAAGCGATATATCATTGTTGTTGGAATACCGCGTATTGCAGCACAGACTGCCAACAAGTTCATTGGCAACGTGAACACAAAAGGGTGTGTAGACGTAAGCGTTAATTCACGTGATGAGTGCGAGTATAATGAGATTGTTATAAGAAAGCGTTCAAGATGAGGAAATCAACTTTTTGAAATGGAACTTACAAGAAGCTAGGTAAAACATTATTATCTTTATTTAAAAAGTTGAAACCAAAATAAGGGGACACAAAAACAGAAAGAAAAAGGAGAACATTCGCCTTCACATACATATTTTCATGATGATTATCATTCACATACATGTACACATATATACTATACATTATCATATACATGTACATATGAAAACAAGTTAATTTTCTTTCGTTTATCTATTTAAGTGCTATATACATATATAAAAGAATAGTCTGTAGAAGCACGTTAATATCGTGGGTTTAAAAGCAACAAGCACTAACGAAGAAAACACGAACCACATTGATAAAATTTTGAAAAAATAATTTTTTTTCAGATTTTTGAAAAAATTATTTTTTTTTAAATTTTATTACTATGGTTAAATAGAGGTGTTCTTACGATAAAACTTTTGTATGAAACATTTTTTGATATCTCAAATAATTTTCCAGAAAGTTTCAAAGTATCAAAATCAGAATTTTCGGGTTTGCGAAAATGAGATTTTAGCTAATATACTACAAGAACGCACTAAGGAATGATTATCTTAAGGGACGGATTTTTATTTGAAAGTACCTGAAAAGCCAAATGATTTATAAAAAATTTAAAAATGCATTCAAACTTTAAATTGAAAATAACTGAACCTAATTTTTATACTTATCATTAGTGCTTATTGCTTGTAAGTCCACGATATAATTCTTGACACCAATTCAACATGCCTTTAACAACTTCCCTCGCAGGATGGAAAAACTGTTATGTGTGTGCGCAGGTAAATCTCAAGACTGTTTTTACTTAGCGGCATAATAAAACTTTTTAAATGTCGTACAATCAATCATAGTTTTGTACAATGCTATTGCTGCGGTAAATTCAAGGAAGAAACAAAGTGATGGTTGTAAGATAATATGAGTGAGTGATTCACAGAAGGTATGCATAGATTTGTTAAATTTTTTGACTTATTTTTTAGATATAGTAAATTTTTGTTCTCTATACTACATTAATAATAGGTTTTAACAACACACGTGATTCTATGTGCATAATTAATGTATTTTATATGCATATTATGATAGTGACAAATCTTGTACATTGTCATTATGAATTATTTATATCAAATTTATCTTGGCATATTATTCCTTTAAGATCATTTTAATTGATAGAAATACAATTTTCTTAGGACAAAACGGCAAAACATGAAAATATCAATACATTTATTTTATGATTCATGTAAGAAAAAATTATTATTATTACACAATATATTTATGTATGTTGCATCTAATATATTACAAACACTACAAACTAATTCGATATAATTAATGCGTTATGCATTCAATCACAGCAAATATTTAAACATAATGTAATCAATGTCTATCTAAAAATTGCACAATAATTTCTAATAGTTATATATAAATACGCGCGCGTGTTCTTATATTATTTATATTTGATAAAAATTTTATGATAATAGTCAATTTTGTTTCATTGAACAATCATATTATTATAATACGACGATTATTACAATGCCAGTATAGTAAAGTAAAATTCATAAATATTTTGAAACATTTTTCATAAATGCCATAAATATTTTACACTTTTAATTTATAAAGCGATACAAATATTTGCTTTGAATGTCAATAGAGTACTGAAATATTTTCATATATAAAAAAAGATAAAAAATTGAAGAAGAACAGCCTAACATAAGACCATATCGTATGAATTTTATTATTCATTAAGGAAGCTTTAAAAATATACCAATATATTTAAATATAGCGAATTGTAAGGATGGCATTGTGACATCACAGTCACATGGTTCTAACTTAGATCTTGCGTAGCTCTGACTTCCTTGCCCACTACATCTAAAGCCATTTTACCCTTTTCCTTTGTTTCAGTAACTTGCACATATCTGGTGGTATCTACACTATCTAACGATAATCGTTCTAACAATTGTAATAAAGGTGGTTCTAATTTTTCTCCAAGTTGCCTCAAAGCGCTTAATATTTCCTTACGTTGGCAATCAGCAACTTCTTTGTTCAATTTTCCCAGTTTTTCGTCACGATCAATTTGTGATAGACGTTCTTTAAGTCCAGCTGGCTCACGTTTACCAAACATTCTTATGACAGCTGGTGTTTGGAAGGCTGCACTAATAGCTGCTTGAGTGGCCTGTGGAGAATTTTTAATTAACCGAAAAGAAATGCATATTGCAATGTATATCACTATAATGCATTTAGGTAACACACAATATATACCAATTGCATCGCTCCAAGTTCATTAACTAAAGTCATATTTCCAGATATCATTCTTTGCAGGCTTTCATTGAACTCACGGAGTTGTTCCATAGTATCTTCCTTACATTCCAGATAATCTGTTTCGTCTAAAGTAGCCCTGTTAATAGAACAATTGTATAATTTGTTTTATGAAGAAAAATGTAAAATAGAAATGAGAAACTTGAAGCATCGCTTGGTTCTATGTATTTAAAAAAAAGATAAAAAATATAACAAAACCTGCATTCTTCCAAATCTTCCAACTGTTGTACAAGTCGATCTAATTGCTCTTCCAAATTTTTCTTTAGTCTGTCGGTTTCCGCTTTCCCATGTGAACTCATTTTTGACGAATCAAACGATGAAAAGGGCAAAGAAAGATAAGATGTACACACTGGAAGCAGAGAATTGGGTTATGTTATGTTAAAGATGATAATGGATGTAAAAATATCGTCTTTATCAGGCAAATATATATATATTTCGTCAATATATAATATACTATTTTAAATAGATAGATATTTTTTCACTCAGTACTTTTGCACACTTTGCAATGTCGCTGATCACTGTAATTGTATAACATTAGAAAATTTTGCAACAAACATTTTTGCAATATTTACCTTAATCTTAAGAAAATTATTGTATAAATAAAGTTGTCCGTTTATAATATTTTGGTCTAAAAACTTTTTAAAAAAAATTTAATTGATAATCCCAATTTTAGACTGCATTTGAATTTATTTTATACTCAGAGCTATAAAGGCTTACACATGAAATTGTACGAACTTGAAGCACATTTCATACGCATTGAATTGCATTTCATCTATATATCATGCATTATAATTAAAAAATAGTGACAATTTTATCATGTGTAAGTATTCAAAATGTGTAAGAAAATTAAAAATAAATAATAGATTATAATTAATTAATTAATCAAATATAAATATAATTTTGGATTTATTACTAATCATAAAACATAAATATCTAGAAAGCATATTGCAGGTTTCTCACTATTGGACAACTTTATGAGTTTCATCGGACTTGTTGATTGGCTATCGAAAGATCTCTGGATCCAATCAGCGCGTCTAAATTTTCACCCTAGATATCTTTCTCTAGATAGTTTTCTCATCAATATTGCGCATAATTTATGGCGGTTACTCATTCGTTATGGCGTACACACATCTTCCTCAGTTTGCAGCGAAAATTTGTATACGCTATTCGTTCGTTGATGAGTGCACATACACGGTACGAGTGAATACGATCGAATACGAGCAAGCAGTTACGCTTACACTCTCGTGACATCGTGACATCGCGGTGTTGTACGATACAACATATTTCACGTCGCTCGCATTTCTTGTTGAACGGCCGGTTTACGTGATTATGCGAAGGAAGATCGCGGCGGGTGAGACATTCCTTTTTTCCACGAGTGAACGGCGAACGTGTGTCGCGGGGATCCCGCGAAAAACGAACGACCGTTGCGCAGTGTAACACACGGTCGCGAACGGCCGATAGGCGGACAAAGCAGGCGAGCAGCGCCGAGAAGTGCGCTACGGAACTACATGAGACACCGCAAACGTGCTTGTGTACACGAATCGTCGTCGCCGTCGTGATCAAGTGAGTGCGCGCGCGCGCGCAAACCCATAATACTGCCCGATCGTTTTTGCAGATTGCAGCGATCGCGGCATACGGACCGTGCGTGGTGACGATTGACACACGGTCTTCGCAGATATATATATACACATATATATTTATATATATATCTCTTTGTTTTTCAAGACGGCGTGGTTTTCCGTGTTCTCACCGTCGTGAAATCCGTATTGCGTCGGGAAAAATCACGTACTTATGAGTGCGAACCGCATAAGACGGCAGGCTTCTAAGGACAGTCCGCACAAGGGAGGCACACGCCTGCGATGAGCATGCCGACGAAGGGGAATCGCCACCTGTCCCACCACCATCACCAACAACACCAACATCACTCCCAGCAACAGCCGCAGCAGCAACATCAGCCGCAGCAGTCCCATCAATCCCATCAACCCCATCAACCCCATCAATCCCATCAACCCCATCAACCCCATCCGTCCCATCAGTCCCATCAGTCCCATCAGTCCCATCAGTCCCATCAATCTCATCACACTTCGTCGCAACATCAGCAGCACCAGATCCTTCTTAATCCGCCTGTCGTGCATCCTTCGCAGACCTACAGCGCTGTGGTTACCACGAACGCGCCTCGCTTTCTTGCAAATGCCGGTAAGTCTGTTCTTTGCTTCTCAATTATATGTTAAATATTCTCGCATTGCTTTGTTTGCCAACTCGCAAGGACATGTTTGCGTATGTCTATCGAAGGTTATCTATTTTGTCGAAGTAATATTTATTAGATAATGTTGATAAATATTGAAATATATCAATCTTGGAAAATGCACGAGTGAAATTTACTCGTAGCGGTTCTCGCGATGTATACTTATCGCGCATGCACTCTACGGAAAAGTTTTTGAGGTTAGGGCGACCACGCGGCATGTGGTCGCGAGGACAGGGGAACGACGTCCTTCGTCGCGTAAACTATTTTTTTTTTATAGCCGCGTGGTAAGCGGCCTTTATTGTTTACTCGAATCTCGAGGAAGTGAAGAAGGCTTCGAACAAAAAAAAAGTAGGGCCAAGTTAGAACCCGAACGCGGATATAGGCGTGTCTTTACGTATAAATAAAAATCTTACGTCGACAATCTACTTGCATTGCATGAAATTCCTTTCATCATATTTTTTTTATTTTCGAAATATCTCGCTCTACGTGCGACAAATGCGGACAAATTTTTGGAGGACCGAATTTTTGAACAAACAATCCTCGGGGAAAGAATATGAATGGATTCTCTCTATAATGTGGCTTCGCGTGAAAGCAAAATCGTAGCCGCGCGATGTCGGCTATGCCACAAGTTCGACAACTCGGCCGTGCAAGTGGAACGTCGGCGCGGCGCTCTTTCCCTGGCTTCCGTAATCTCGTTAAAGCGGTTTCTCGCGGTTAGTCCGGTAGCGGTTATCAATAGAGCCCAACATCTCCTCGATGCTTGTTCATCGGTGTGAAAACGCGTATATAACTCCGGCTGGAAATTCTGTCCGTTCGTTTCTCGAGTTTTACGCATTTATGTACGCTAAATGTCGAACTGCCTCAATGCTTCGATGATATCGACATACGAAATAAGTCAATAAATCTTATCGCAGTTCTTAAGAAACATTATCCATCGTTACGGAAGCGGGGAGTAATGTTTTCTTCCGGAAATCGAACCGAGTGACGAATCGTGATAACTATCCGATTCGAATGTGTGCTTTCACTTTCGTCTTGGCTTTCTAAGCTAATATAAATCACCGCTCGCTGCGTAACAAAATTCCGATGCGCGTCTAACGTTTATCGGAGCGATCGGCCTCTTATCGCCTGTCCTTTTTTTAATCACCCAGTCATTTTTTGTATCGAGTTGCGACGTCGTGTCGCCTCTTCCTATTCTTGCGTCTTCTTTTTTCTTTTTTTTTTTTTTATTATTGTCTCATGAGCTCTTCTCGCAAAACAAGGACGCGGCTTTTCATTGCGCGAAATAAACAGTAAGCGGACGGATAACAAGCGTGCGCGAGGATGAGGAGGAGGAGAGTGAGGAGGTGGCTGTACTATTGGCCGACACGACGTGTAGCAAACTGTTGAATCGCGCTTATTAAAAGCGGAGGTGGGAGACACAGAGAGAAGCTTCCTGCGTGCGAGTCGCGACGTAGCATCGACCATCTCGACGATGATCGACGACTTGTTTAGGAAGCAGGAAATGGCATATAAAAAAGTGGCACATCTCATCCTTTTTAGCATTATTTTATACAAAAATGAAACATATTTGTGTTGTCAGAATGCACTGTTTTTACTCGTTTGATATCTCGAATACGTTGCAGCAATATCCTTTCTTTTTAAATTAAATTAAATTTTATTTAATATCGTTTTTGGAAAAATAAGTTGTATGAAGAATCATTACAACAACTCACAGAAAAAAATTGTATTGGGCATGATTTATCATAATGAACTGAATAGTTCGCGATAATTTACAATAATTTCTATAAGTTATTTTGGCAAAGAGTTATGCATTTTTACAAATTATTTATGGAGCTATACATTTATATAACTTATTTACGTGATAGAGTTATGCATTTCAACTTGACACTTGGAAAAGTACTTTTAGGGAGGGAGTAACGTTTTGCTGCGTCATACATCGCAAGCACTTTTTACTTAGCCATTGCGAAAAAAAGTTCACTGGATATATTTTATTGTGAAATTCCAAGGTAGTTGGTACAATGCGATACGTGAAACGCTCACGGTGCTTGATGCAATTACAAGTGCATATGTAGTTAAAATTAGATTCAAGGCAAATAACGCGTACGGACTCTCGAAGTGGATAGCGTAATTTCGTAAGAACGAACCCCTCTCTTGGGAAAATCCGACGCGTATCACGCAAGAGAATAATCGTAAGCATTAGAAGAGATTTCCGCGGAAGCTTTTTCGCGCACACAAACGCGTGCGGGGGATAGCGTAGCGGAGAAATAGCGACGACAGCAAAGCCGTCTCATCGCTAGAACGGGACGTAAGAAGGCTCACGAAGTATCACGAAGCCGACCGAACGCCTACTTCGACTGGTACATGTGGCAATCGGCCGCGCGTGTTTCGCGTATGCACTCGTTTCGTTCGCGGTGAAACGAATCACGACAAATCCAATTGTAATTGAGCGCCGTCACGTCGCGATCTCGCGTTTCCAGATGTGCGACGGAACGGACTGAGCGGAATTGTCACGTCCCCGGGGACGGCGCGGTATCTCGCGAGTGCGGTGTTCGCGCGTTTCGCTTTACCTGGTTCCGACTGTCGCGACGAGAGGTCCCTCGCTCTCAGGGACACTTGGACGGTAAGGCGAGCCTCGCGGTTATTCGCAGTCTCTTGCTCGCGAGGCGCGAGCATATGGTGCGTGACCGCGTGTCAATCTGCGCAGTGAGGTGGTTTCGCCGCGACCGGTCGCGAGTGTCACGTCGAAAGTCTCGGTGCGAAGAACCCGATTCTCGGTTTCCTTTTCCCGTTAACTGGGAAGAAGCGAATGATCGGTATTCGCGCGCGCCTGGCGCAACGGCAGCGCCGGGTTTCATTTGCTCGCTATTGACGCGCCTAAAAACATAGTCCGCAAAATCGCAAACGAGAAAGAGAGAGAGAGAGAGAAAACCCGTGCCGCGCACGTCGCGCGTCCGTCCGTTTCATTCTTACGCGCGGCGGAGGTTATATAATTTCCGACGAAGCGTTCTTTTCGTCCGGCGCGTACACGCGACCATACGTGAAGATCCGGTATCGGTAAACGCGCGAGCATCCCGTTTTTCGACGTTTCTTTTCTCTTCTTCCCGCAACGCACACCCGATACGCAAAAACGGCTCATGCCATCGCGTATGACATTGCGCGCCGACGACGACGACGACCGGGTGGAGACGGCACCGCCGACGGGTCGCAGTCACGCCGAGTAAACATGCGTCCGATCGCCACGTATTCATCGTAACGGTCACCGACGGACGACATCAACGGAACGACGGCGGCGACGATCAGAAAGGACAGTGGAAATGTCCACGGCGATAGGTGAGTTTTTGTCGCGCGCGTCTACCCAACATCGGACATTTTCGCTTTTTTGTTCACGAGACCACGCGTAGCGCTATGCGCCTCGCGCGTGATCTCCGCGTTCCATTTGCGTGGCAAGTTGCTTTCGCGACAGGCATTCGTCACTGCAATTCTCAAGAGACTCATTTCGGAATGTTGAATTTCCCGCGCGATTTTAACATCGAACGCCGATGGTAATATCACACAGATTTCTATTGCCGAGACTTTCGGGAGATTTCGCGTTGCATGGGTTTTTAGAACGGCCACGTGACAACGCATCGCCGCTCGCCGACATCGCCGATGTTTTTGGAATGGGCGGTACGTTACTTCGAGCATGTCCCGCACGGGTGGATTGGCAAACACGTGTCATTCCATTTAGCTACGATGGATGAGGGAGAGTTCGTTTCTTTGGAATTTTTTGCGTAGAATTTTATTTGTATTCTGTCGGCCGATCAACTCGTGGTATTTGCGTGATA